TGCTATTTATCTGCAGAAAGTGTCAAACATTTTTCTGTTTCGTAAATCTTTATCAGTTTTGGTTTCTTTATTTTACTATGTTTAATGCATGGCTTTTGCTCTCCTTCAAATGCAAAGAGGATTGAAAAGAATTCTTGTGTCCATTCATTCTTTATTTCTATTTCTTTTTACAGGTTTTGGATGCTACATGTTAGGGACCCACAAGGTACAAGATGCCTTCATCTAAAGAAGCATTTGAAAGAAAACTGCAAGCATAAACACATGATTCTTCTGTTAAACAAGTTCAATCTCATTTTCTAGCTGTATTTATAAGGCTGCAACAGCTTGTGAACACTTGTAATTCTTCCTTTTCACTATGAGATTGTTTACGCTTGGGCTACAAAGGGATGGCTTAGAATATTATGAAAGCATTTCATGCTTGCATCAATAGGTCTTTTTGCAAGGTAAGTAATACATTTCACTCTCTCTTTCTCTCTTTCTCTCTCTCTCTCTCACACACACATGCACACAAATGCTGGAGAAGCTCCCCTTCTTTTAGTTTAAGGCAAATGTTGAAGGAAAACCTTAATCTACCTAGAAAAATATTCTATGCAAAGTACTTTGTATATTTTCTGCATTTTTAGCTACTAACTTGTATTGACTCAGCATTATCATTTGTCTTTTCTTTTCTCGTTGCACACAGGGTTCTCTATTGTCAACTTTGACACAATTTGCCCTCCTAACAAGTGACGAGCAAGCAATATCTGTGGGATTTGTTGGCTATCCTAATGATGGAAAGTCTTCTGTTATTAACATAGGTCCTAAAAATGTGCTGCCTCTTTATGGCTTCTTTTGTTGCATTATTCATGAAAATTTGTGTTTTTATGCCCTTGAATGTTGAAGGGATAAATGTGCCCATCACTATCTTCCAAACTCTATCTAACATGTTTATTAACTCTTATCTAAAATCTGATTTCTCTGGATGCTTTTAAGTATAGCACCATATCTGTTTGTCAACATTGTAGCCCAATGAATATCTTGCAACTGTTTGATTTTTTAACTACTGTTATATTTTAGGCACCTATCTATCTACTACGTTTATGAGGTCAGTGGTTCAGCTAATATAATTGTTTGCTTTGCTAAAAGGTTGGCAAAGTTGCTCGATTCCTGGGTAGACTAAATTGTGGCAGTACATAACACTCACAAAAATGATCTCCATTGACTACCCTGGAGTTGTTTACCAGAACAGTTGACTCTGAAACAAATATTGTACTAAAGGGTATGCCATGTTCGATCAGCTAATTGCCTGCACTTTCTTCTGCCCTTCACAATAGTGAGGCAATGGTATGTTTAATTTATTGTTATTTCTCAGAGCAACTACAGCAAGAACTGAGTACCTAATTCCTTGGAGAAAAGGAAATCCCTTAAAATTAACATTTTTATCACCGGATTAACAACAGACGAGCACATGTATCATCTTGTAAGTGGTATTAAAGTCAGTTTAAAATTATAGTTGGTGGTATTACAAATCTCTAATTATAGACTTTGGCTCGAACCGGATTCCGAGTCCAATAATTTACTTCAAATCTTAAGTACTTGAATTAAGTTGATCGGATTTTCGATTCTCTCCTATCACTTCCAAAATTCTCCCTTCCCCAAAAATTATAGATTGGTCAAAAAAAAAAAAAATTATATATATAGACTCGGCTCTGATACCACTTACAAGGCAAAACTGAATGAGAAGAAGTCTCCATCTATACTTTTTCTACGGTTAAGAGTTCTCAAAGTACATTTACAAAGACTAGCGAAGAAGTATAATTTTTCATTTTTCTTTGATACAACTATATATAGAAGAGTCTTTAATATGATGATACGTTTAAAGATATCATTCAATGCTCCACAGCATCATCAACCCCTTTTGGTTTTCCATGCTGCTTAGCAAAGTTGCCAATCACTAACGTTTTAGTGAGAGAGGGAGGGTAAGAAAAAGCTAACAGGAAATTGATCAATTACCATACCATTGCTTACCTTAGGAAATTGAAAATATTATAAGGAAGGCCAGCAACACACCGGAAAAAAAATAAAATCCATCAGAATCAGAGGATCTGCATGACATGCAGGATAAAGTGATCAATTACCATACCATTGCTTACCTTAGGAAATTGAAAATATTATAAGGAAGGCCAGCAATCTCGTATTCTTTCCAAATCAAAAGCGAGTTTTGCAGGTCTTTGGCTTTAACACAGGCATTCAGGATAAAATCAAGACACTTACGTGAAGGGGCTAATGCCTATTTCCCTCTTTATGGCATGTAGTAAATCCACGCCAAACTGTACATCATCAGGTTCTTCCTCAGCAATAATGGCAAATGCCTGGAAACCGCAAAGTTTAAGCTCAATGCAGTCAGTTTGTTAACATGGGACAGGCTAGTAATTCAAACAAAGACAACAAGCACTGATAAATTCATAGATCTCTGTGGGAAAAACAAAAGTCTCACTGTCTGAGATGAGTTCCTGAATATCAAGCAAGAAGATTAGACAACATTAAGGAAGAGAAATGGCGTAAGAGCAAACCTCATCAAAGAGAACTTCTGCAGCCAACTCATCATCACAGAACTTGTCCTTGAGTTGCTTGAGCAAATGAACAGC